ATGCTTCAGTATGTCCTCATCACTCTTTCTATGACTATGACTGACCGCCTTTCCAGAGTCACAACCAAGCACGTCTACGACCTGGCATGGTCGCCAGATGGAGAGTTCTTGATCGCTGGGTCCACAGATAACACTGCGACCATATGGAAGGCCGCTACAGGCGAGCTCTTGACGTTTCAGTTCTCAGATGAATGCTGATCTTCTACAGGGGAGTGCGTGTTTGCCCTGAGAGAGCACTCTCACAACGTGCAAGGTGTATCATGGGACCCCTTGAACGAGTACATTGCTACTCAAAGTAGTGACCGGTAAGTCCCACGCCCTATCATGTCTTCTTGGCTGATGACAACCAACAGCTCTGTCCATGTCAACACTTTTGCGTTCCGCAACGGTATCCCCGACGTCCACCCCGTCACCCGAGCCACCCGCATGGAAATTCGTCACTCCCGAACACCCTCCATCTCATCCGCCTCTCGCCCCAGCATGGTCCGCCGCGGTTCGACCACCTCGGAAGCCGGCTCCGTCATCACCACCGCTTCCGACTTTCCCGAGACCCACTTTCCAGGTATCGCAGCTAGCGCCGCCAACACACCTGCCACACCCTCGGCTTCTGTACCATCCACACCCCAGCCCGCCGCGCCTGCGCCCATGAACCCGCCCACATCCAACCGCCCATCCTCCCGTCGGTCCTCCTTTTCCGGCTCGCAGGCCGCTGCCTCTCCAGCTTTGAGCGCTGCGGCTTTCAACGCCCTCGGCCGGTCAGCGAGATCGCCATCGCCCATACCCCCGCTTCCTGCAATCCGGGCCCCGCCCGCGAGCTCGAATGTATCTCTCAATCAGAGGCTGTACGGCGAAGAGGGCGCTACGCGGTTCTTCCGAAGACTGACCTTTTCTCCCGATGGGTCGCTTCTGTTGACACCCGCGGGTCAGATCGAGGATCAGGTGTTCAAGGGCTCTCCCATGCTCGGCCCCAGAAGTTTGTCGCAGGACGCTTCATCGGAAGCCAACAGCGTACCAAAACCCAAAAACACCGAGTCTGGCAAGCCCACTGCCTACATTTACTCGCGAGCCAACCTTTCTCGAGCGCCAATAGCGCATCTCCCGGGGCACAAGACGTCGAGTGTGGCGATCCGCTTCTCTCCAGTGTTCTACGACCTGCGCCAGAACGGCCATGTACAGGCGGAGCCAAAGCATGTCACTCTAGACAAGTCTGATGCTTTGCCTGTGAACATTTCGTTATCCATGCCTCCGCCTCCAGCCCCAACGTCGTCCTCAGTCAAGGAGAAGGAAAAGGAGTCACATAATCTGGGTAGTGTCTTTGACCTGCCGTACCGCTTGTTGTATGCTGTGGCGTGCCAGGACTCGGTGCTGCTATATGACACGCAGCAAGCAGGTCCGATAGCAATCTTCAAGGGGCTGCATTATGCCGGCTTCACCGACGTGGCTTGGTAGGTCCGCCTTCCAATGTGGATATACAAACTGACTTGCTTTACAGGTCTCCCGATGGTCAAACTCTGTTGCTCTCCTCAGCAGACGGCTACTGCAGCATGGTCACTTTCGACCTCGGCGAGATAGGTACCGTCCACCCCACTCAGCAACACCACCGCCAGCTCCAAGCCATTGCCCAATCCCACTCCCTCGCCAGTACTCCTCTTGCCTCTTCCCACCATCGCGACTCCATACATTCCCAGACGTCTGCATCTGGCACACCATACAGTCCCGCAGTGGGTATCAGGCAGAGCCCTGCACCTTCTAATTTGGGTGGATGGGGGGCGAGGAGTGAGAGGGAGAGTTCGGTGGCTAGTAGTGTTGCGGGAGTGTCGGCTTCTACTCGGCCGTCTATCTCTAGCCAAGGACAGGGAGTGTTGCCGACGCCTACGCCGAGTGATAGTGGGGCACCCTCTGTGGGTGGTGCTAACTCGGAAGATGCGGCCAAGAGGAGAGAAGGGGATCAGGCTGCTGAAGGGGAGGCCCCAAAGAAGAAGAGAAGGGTGGCGTTGACTCATTTGGGGACGGATTGATCTGCATATGAACGAGCAAGTGCCTCGAGATATTGGCTATAGAAGTAGCCTCGGTCGTGATTCCTACAGAACCCTTAATAAGCACTCGTGGTTCAGATACATGCATCTTCAAATGCCGAGTCATAAAACATCTTGCAGCATATACTATATACTTCCTCATCATCGAGTCCTTCTGCGTTACCTTGATTGTGTGCGTCCCAGTGAATTTTGATCGTACTTGTACAGACCGATTGGACGCTTGTTGTTGCAGCAGATAAGACACTGACCAGACCGGGTTTTTCATCACGAAAGCGAGCAAATGAGAAGTCAACCCGTAACCACTCTTTTCAAACTGAAAAAAACAATGATTGGCAAGTCCCCGTGCAGCAAGCCCCACCTCGCATATATATCGCTTCCAACTCCCGATGTCACTACTACTCTTTCACCGCCCTCAACAAGCAGAGCGTCTTCATGCCCATCGCCTTCCGGCTGGCTGCCAATGGCCTCCTCATACTATCCCATTTTTTGTTCAGATCCTCCGGACTGCAATGTCGGCCATGGACCGAACCAACGGTGCCATAAATCTTGGTCAGCGTTTCGTTGTCTTGTAGGAGATGTGAAAGAGTCTCCTGCTATTCCCCATAGACATGCAGTACAGTATTCGTAAAAATGTCCAAGTCCAATCTGTAGCAATTAGCTTAGCAGGATGAGAGAGGAGCCAAGCAGGCAGATCGCCCAGATCTGTCTCTTATCATCAACGCACGGTATCCCTCTTCCTGCTGCCCTCGACTCCATGACGACATACATTCTGCTTCTCGCCGTCACTAGTCAGATTTGAAAACAGCGACTCCCAACACTCGATGCTCTACTGGATCGGACACTGCTACCGCCAAGTCGCCGTTTACGGAAGGGGAGAGGTCGTCAACAAAGATCCGACGATCAGCTTGTGCAGTTTCGCGTATGAGAAAATTATGTATGAACAATAATCAAGAACTCAACCTCCTCAAAGGCGCAACATTCCACCCACTCGACAGGAATCTTCAAAAGCAATCACTTTTCATCGAAAGGGTTCCTGCAAAACGTCAGCTTGGCCATCAAAACACTCACCACCACTCACTTGGTGTACTCTAGCTCATCGTCACTATCTTCTAGCCTATACGGGCTGTTGCCAGCAGGCGGCGTAGGCGGGATCTTGTTTGTAAAGCTCGCGTTCGGCAGACCGGGGTTGGGGTCATCATCCGAGTCATTACCGTCCTTCTTGGCACTGGAAGACGAGACAGCCCCGGAAGCGCCAGCACTGCTGGAAGGGAGGTGTGATGATTGAGAGGGAGAGGTCGACATGAGGTCGACACGCTTCTTGGGGAGGATACCCAGCTTGGCTGTAGTCAAAGGTCAGTGATGCTTGATATGGAGTCATGGGCACGTACCGAGGTCAATCTTGCCCGACTTGTCTGGGCTCCCAGGAAAACTGTTTCGGGTAGTCATCTCGACCCTGTTGGGACTTGATGTGCTGTTCCTCGAGGGTGGAAGAGGATCGTCTTGTGGCTCGTCAGCTGAGATTCAAATTGTGACCGGTGACTCACCATAAGCGTCTGACGGTTGCCACCTCTTCGATCCACTACTCTGCCTTGGAGGGATTTGCCCGCCCCGCCCAAGCTGCACCGGCTGAGGATCCAATGTACTAGCTGAAGAAAAGCTCTCGGACCGCCCACTGATACTAGGCGAATTTGATCTCTCACCCCACAGCCCGCCACTGCGCTCTTGGGCCTGGATATATCTGTTCTGCTCGCCACCACGCGGACCGCCGGGAGCCGAGGCGTACTCGGATTGACCAGGCTGGTAGTGCTGGGGACGCTCGGCTTGGGCAGTTTGAAACTCGGCGTACTTTTGTTTGGCTCGGGAGAGGAAAGAGTTGAAGGTCTGCTTGCCGACTTGCAATGAGGATGAGCACTTGCCCAAAAGTCTTTGCGACACACTCACCTTCAGCAAACCTTTCAAGCTTTTCTTCCATCATCAAAGCCCCGGGCGGATTGTCCCCAGTCGGTCTTTGCTCGTATTGCTCCCACCTACCGCCGACAGCTGCTTCGCGCTGGCCATCAGACTCTGGCTGATAAGCCCCTTGCGGCGCAGGGGGGCGTGCCCGACGGACACGCGGCTGGTACGGCAACTGTCCCTGCGGGAGGCTATCGTCGGCGCTGGCCCCATGAGCTGCTTCATACTGGCGCTGCTGACGGCGAAAGTCGTCTTCATCCTGCATCTGCAAGGACCGGGCGAACTCGGCGTCCAAGTCGACTTGGTGCTGTGCTGGGTCAGCTATGTGGCCGCACCCTCACAAATGTACACTTACACCCTGCCTGGACCCATCAAGCTCGTCAGGCTTAAAGTTTGGGTCGGTCATACCGAGAAGCTGCTCAATGGCTCTATCTGTGGATCCGCCGCACGTCTCCAAGACAAGTTCGATGACCGACACCTCCACAGTTGGGAAGATGGCCTGAAGTTCGACAATCTTAGGGTCTGTGTGGACGGGATTCTCCGTGGTGAGAGCAGCAGCAGAGGTATCGGTCGTTGGGACAGCAGATGCCGGCGGAGGAGAGGTGGTTGCGGCCCCAGCAGAGGCGGTGTCGCCAGGCGTTGGGGTGGATGACTTGGCGGGAGGCGTAGGAGGGTATACGGACTGTGCGGGGACAGGCTTGACTGCCGTCGGTGTGGGGGTACGGGGCGGGGATGATGGGGGAGAGGCCATGGTGATAGTCGCAGCTGAAAGAGAAGATGCAAGTGAGTGACGACAATGACAACAATGGCGCCGCGGACGTCTCTCGGGCGGGCCGAGCCACCGCGCCACCCTCCACCGCTCGTCTCAGCCTATGCTTTTGCCACAATGACCATAGTATGGCAGAGCATTTGCCATCGTGTTTGAGCTAAGCATGAACGCCTCAGATATGCAACACCAAACAGGGGTAGTAAAGGGGTGTGTGCATGTAGGGAACAAAAAGCAAAAAGTATTGGAGGTGCAGGGAATCGAACCCTGTGCCTCAACAAGAGGCAAATGACGAAAACGTGATTGCAAATGTTGCGCTCTACCAAATGAGCTACACCCCCAATCACGGAGGAGAGGTTATTGTGCCATTTATGAGAGGTGTCGCTCAAAATGCATTCTTACTGCTACGGTCAAATCAGATATCAAAGGGGTGCTGTACTGACTATGAATCATGCCATATTGAAGACTGAACATGTAATGGGTGCATACCCAAATGCTTTCAAGTAAATGCGATATATTGTACAAACAGATTGATTGTGGGTCGCTCAACGTCTCCTATCCCTGTCTCTATCCCTCCTGTCTCTGTCCTCGCGTCTATCTCTGTCATCCCTATCTCTATAGCGACCCCGATCATCTCGCCTGTCGCTGTCCCTGTAGCGACTCCGTTCGTCGCCCCTGTCTCGAGACTCACGCTCTTTGGCCTTTCGCCGAGCGCGCTCGTCCTCCGTCTCGTAACGTCCGCTGTCCCGGTAGTCACTCCTTCTTTCCCTATATCTATCTTCATCGCGATCGCGAGCACGATCACGTCCGCTATCCCTGTCCCTATCTCTATAACCGTCGTCCCTCCGTTTGCTTTCTCTCCCATCATCGTCATCCCTCCTTCTTTTTCCTTCACTGTCCTCACTGGCACTGCTTGCCCCGGGCGTTTCACTCCCATCTCGCCTGACCATAGCCCCGGCCAGGCTATACTTCATAGCGTCCCTCTTGCTTGGCGGTCTAGGCTTCTTCCCGTTGCTGGAGCCGCTTCGACTTGGGGGCACTGGGGCTTGCATGGCAGTAGCCCCAAGACCCAGAAGGGCAGGCCGCGACTTTGGCTCGTGGATTTTTGTGCCACCCTCGGCCGCAGGAGTCCAGCCCATCCCGCGAGCCATAGCTTCGCCAAAGGCGGAGACGGGGACAGCGGCATAATCGTCGATAGTCGACTGCGAGCTAATGTTAACGTTGCTTCTTGCGAGTGTGGATGAGTGGCTCACCTCGATCGGAAGAGCGTTCACATCTCGTTTGAGGGCATCTTCTTCGGAGAAGGGAGTATCCTTGGCCGAGGAAATGACGAGCTCGCGGCGGAGTCGCTCTTCTTCCGTCTCGCGGGAAACTTCGCCTTGAAGGAGAGCTTGAAGAGCCTGTTCCTCGAGTGTGAGGGGTTCTCTCTTCACTTCAACCTCTTCCTTGACTTCCACCTTTACAGAGCCATTGCTGCTTTCCTCGTGCTTCTCCAGCTTGACGCTGACACTCCCATCCTCGTCCTCCTTCACCTCCTTCTTGATTTGCCGCAATCCCGAACGCTGAGGGCCATCTCCAACTCGCTCATGAGTGTCGTCGACTTCGACTTGAGGCCGAGTTTCGGGGCGATACGTAGGAGTTTTGCGGGTAGATGAGGCTCGCCAGTCGCGATTAGGAATGGCGGGAATGACAAGAGGGGCTTCTGGTTTGTCGCCACTAGACAGACGGGGGGGTCAACTCTTGCACTCTGGTTGTAAAGGTCGCAACGTACCCAATCGCGCGCCCATTCTTCCCAAAGCCTTCTATCCGTTCTTCTCTAGGCCTCTCGCTTCTCTTGCCTCGAAGATGATGGTCATCATCCTCGTCCTCGTCCTCCTGGTCGTCACTGAAGAGCCGTCTTGAAGGCGGGCCTCTATTGCCGAGAGGCGAAGGGCGATATGGAGCCGAGTTTGGTGGGCGAACCGTGAAAGACACTGGAGCGGGCATGCTTGACTGAATGAAAGATCACTCTACAGTGATAGACACAAAGTCAAAAGAGAGTTGTGGCGAACAGGCTGTTGAATGTCAACTCGGAATGACCTGCTTATGTAATGCCCCAATGACAGCTTGCTGGTGGTGAATGGAGGGGCATATCGCGCATTGCTGCATCTCTTCTTTCACCATCACCCAACATGGCCGCCACGCTCCACCCCATCCCGCCGCCCTTCTTCTCCCCCTATCTCGATGACCAATGCACCAAAATCAACAACAAGGCCGTCCCCTGGGAGGTAAGTCCACCATCCTCCAGACCCCTGCCCGCGCTGACCGTTCTGTAGGGATACCAGAGGGCCAAGCTCTTGTCTCAAGATGAACTCTCGCTTCTCAAATCTCTCTCCAAGCTTGTATGTATCCGATCTGCAAATCTGACCGCATCTGACGCCTCTCAGCCCCCAGCGCAACGCCCGACCGTATTCGCGACCCAAGGTCCTCAATACGCCAAGCTCTATATCGACCTCTTGCGCAAGCTCCAACGTGTAGACACGGTCCAGGCTGTCCTTGTATCCATCAATGACATGCTCTCTGATACTGCTACCATATCCTACTTTCACAACTTGGCTACCAGTGAGAACCCGACTGATCCATATGGACCTATCGTCAAGTGCTTGGGTATGGAGGAAGAGTTCCCGGTCCTGGGCAGCTTGAGGATATTGGCTCTGCTTGTTGCGTATGTAGATATACATCTGTGTCTCGTCTCAAGCTGATTATGCTTGCCAGAACCGACCCCAAGCCCTTCCCCGAATCCCTTGTCCCGACACTTTTGTCATCCCTTCAAACCCTCCTCAATGGCAGCCGCATACCCCTTTGGGAAGTTGCCGCTCAGGTGCTCGGTGCTGTTCTCGGTACCAAGCAGTTCCGAAGCGCCGTCTGGGAGGAGGAAGGCGCCATCTCGGGGTATGCCATTGATGTCCGTTCGTCTGTGCGTGCTCACACCCATTATAGCCTGATTAAATCTCTCAAGACCAACCCCAACCCCCAGGCTCAGTACTGGGCCATCTTCTCCATCTGGCAATTGTCATTCGAGAAGAAGGCCGCGGAAGGGTTGGACAAGAAGTATGACGTGGTCGCGCTGTTGACGGATGTTGCAAAAGCTGCGGTCAAGGAAAAAGTCCAGCGTGTTGTCGTTGCCACTTTCAAGGTGTGTCCTCAAGTAGCAATTGAATCACAAGTGCTTACTCGCCTATAGAACCTTCTTGCCATTGCCCCCACCCAGAACCTACCCTCCATGTTCGTCGCCAAGCTGCTCCCCTTCATCACCTCCCTCCAATCGCGAAAATGGTCCGACGAAGAGATCGTTGAAGACCTCGATTACATCCAAAGCGAACTCAAGACTCGGTTGGACGGCTTGAGTACTTATGACGAGTATGTGAAGGAATTGGAGAGTGGGCACTTGGTCTGGTCGCCTGTGCATGAGACGGTTGATTTCTGGAAGGAGAATGGCCTGAGGATCGGGCAGGAGGACGGTGGAAGCGCTGTCAAGTGTGTTCAATTCTTCCCATGGCATTCGGTGCTGACACTTGTTCAGGCGTCTGGTTGAGCTCATCACGACTTCAAAAGACCCCCTCGTCCTCGCCGTCGCCACCCACGACATCGGCAAGTACGTGAGATACGGCGGGGAACGTAGCAGGGACACTATCGACAAGCTCAACGGCAAGACGCGGGTGATGGAGCTGATGTCTCATGAGAACGGGGACGTGAGATATCAGGCTCTGATGACGGTTCAGAGCTTGATGAGCCAGCATTGGAAGTAAGGGTGTTGAAAGAAGCATTCTTGGTTTTAGTTGTAAGACATGTATAGGAAAAACTCGACATCTCGCGCCATGACAGTGTCAACCGAGCGACATCAGTGCCAGTAGGGGACTCACACGACAAAGACTATACACATACATATCATAAACATCCTAATCGAACGTGACCTTGGTACCAGAACCCTCCACGATACCGACATTCTCTCTCTTGGCCATAGCCAACGCCGCTCCAGGTCTCTGTCTCCCACTAGCCTCCCACTTCTTGCCTCTCTGGTCCTTCTTCGCGGCCTCCGCAGGGCTCTCATCTCCTTCGCCTTCGCCATCGCCGCCTTCGCCATCGGGGCGGGGCCTGAAACGAGGTTTAGGCTTGCCTTCGCCAGCAAACTTGCGGAGCTTGTCGGCACCGCTTCGCTTGGCTGATGATTCCGAGGCAAACTATTGAAGAGTATAAGCATCAATGTGTATGATAGCGAACGAGTGGAACGGACCTCGAGGTTGAGCTTTCTGCCGTTAAAGTAATGGTTCTTGCGGTTGGCAAGGGAAAACTTGGCGTGACGGGAAGAGACAAAGTCGAGGAAGGCGAAACTGAATAGGGTCAGGTATGTTGCGATGTCTCTATGAATCGCGCTCACCCTTTGCATCTGCCAGTGTCCTCGAAAGCTGCCAGCCTGACCTTGATCAACCCACTCTTCTTTCCTCCTCTTTCTCCGATAAACTCCTCGCCCTCTTCAGCTTCTCTTTCCGGTGCATTCTCCTCGATAAGATCTCTGATCTGGGTTTCGGTGATGTCGAATGGCAAGTTACCCATGTATATACACGAGGTCTCCGGGCGTTTGGATATAGAGCCAAGTTCGTCCGCGCGAACAGCCAGAGTTTGTTTGGGAGTACGGGCGTTCGGGGTGGCGGTGTGGTCATCGCCCTTCTTGATCAGCACTCGTCTGCCAAGGTAGGGAGATTCGGAAAGTTTGATAGCGAGCTCCTGGAGCTCGGGTGTGGCAAAGTCAACGTAAGCAAAACTATACTACAGTTAGCTGGGCACATTTCAATCGGGACCGTACTAACCCTTTGGTCTCCGAGAACCCGCCTTTGTTGCTCTTTTTGGGCAGGTTGATTCTGGTAACACTGCCTTCACCCTTGCCTCCCAGCCCGCTCAGACCGTTCTCGAACCACTCCTTGAGCCCTTCAGACGTCGTCTTGAACGCCAAATTTCCGATCCACACCGAGTTCTGTCTCTTGCCCTTGCCCTCCAAAGCTTGTGCCGCCTTGTCCTTTTCATCTCCGTCATCTCCAGCATCCTTCTTTGAGACCTTCTCGTAGTCTTTCAGCTTGGGGCGAGGTACGCTGTCGTCGCCACGCTTGGCCCTTTTTCGCGCGGCTCTGATTTCAGCTTTGGAAAGAGGCGCAGGAGCAGACACATCGATTTCCAGCTCTTCGCCCTCGGCGGCACCTTCTCTCTTTCTCTTCTTTGAATCTGAGGCATCGGCAGCGCCATCCTCCATGGTGGCGTCAGATGTGGCCTCGACCACAGGCTCGACCTCTATCTGGACATCCGAAGCAGTGGCCGCGGCTTCTTTGGCAGCAGCAGCCTTCTTGGCCGCTTTTTTGGCGTCTCTTTTGGCCTGTTCTTCAGGTGTTCGTTCCGACTTGTGGGCCTTCTTGATTGATTTGTCGCCGGACATTGTTATTGGAGTTGTACAGAGTATGAGTATCCTCTTGAAATTTACATGCAGACCGTCGGCAAAAGTGGAGGCCGAATTCGAAATTTAACTATGGACTTACGTAAACGATCCTCCTACCTTCTCTTGCTTTCGCGCGAATTGGCAGACACTCCTTGTAACTTGACAACAATACGAGAATCCACAATGGTGAGTGGGAGTTTACATAGGTGGACGAGCTGACCTCTCCAGGCGGCCAACATCTCCGTGCAACCATCTTCCTCCATTCGCGATGTGACAAAGATGGAACGCATTGGTACGCACACTTCTACCCTCTCCAAAGCGCCTTCTGATACCTATGCAGGCGTCCACTCCCACATTCACGGCCTCGGTCTGGACTCGAACTTGGAACCGCGTGCAAACTCGCAAGGCATGATCGGTCAAGGCAAGGCTCGAAAGGCGGCTGGTGTGATTCTGAAGATGGTCCAGGAAGGAAGAATAGCTGGGCGGGCAATCCTCATGGCGGGTCCTCCCAGTACGGGAAAGACTGCGTTGGCTATGGGTAAGTCTTGTACTTTGAGATGATCACTGGGGCTAACTTTAATCTAGCGATGACACAAACATTGGGCAGTGATGTTCCCTTTGTCATGCTCACGGCTTCAGAGGTATTCTCTCTCGAGGCAAGTCTCCTGTCTACAGCCTGCAGCCGTGTGTCTGACTTCAATGACAGATGTCCAAGACCGAATCGTTAACTCAGGCATTCCGACGTGCTATTGGTGTCAGGATAAAGGAGGAGACAGAGCTGATTGAGGGTGAAGTCGTTGAGATCCAAGTAGACCGAAGCGTCACCGGTGTAAGTCTCTTGTTTCAAAATATGGCAGTGCTGACAGAAGACTATAGGCTACCAAAACTGGACGATTGACTCTTAAGACAACAGACATGGAGACCGTCTACGACCTTGGTTCCAAAATGATTGACCAGTTGCAGAAGGAAAAGGTGTTGGCGGGTGACGTTGTCAGCATCGATAAGGCTAGCGGAAGAATCTCAAAGCTCGGTAGAAGTTTTGGACGTGCCAAGGACTATGATGCTATGGGTGCCGACGTGAGCATCCCTTCACATCCCGCGACGTTGGCTGACATTTGGTAGACACGTTTCGTTGCCTGCCCCGACGGCGAGCTCCAAACCCGTAAAGAGGTTGTCCACACCGTTTCCCTCCACGAGATCGATGTCATCAACTCTCGTACCCAAGGATTCCTTGCCCTGTTTGCCGGTGACACTGGAGAGATCAAGCCCGAGCTTCGGGCACAAATCAATGGCAAGGTTGCCGAGTGGAGAGAGGAAGGCAAAGCAGAGATAGTCCCGGGTGTCTTGTTTATCGATGAGGTCCACATGCTCGATATTGAGTGCTTCTCGTTCTTGAACAGGGCCATGGAGAATGAGCTGGCGCCTTTGGTGGTCATGGCCTCCAACAGGGGCATCACGAGGATAAGAGGGACCAAGTACAAGAGCCCTCATGGTATCCCCGTGGATCTCCTGGATAGGATGTTAATCATCTCGACCAAAAAGTATGACGAGGATGAGATGCGTGAGATTGTCAAAATCAGGTGAGTCGCCCACGCGATCCAAGGATTCGGCTGACGGCAATTTCAGAGCCGAGGAAGAAGATGTCAAGCTCTCCCCCGCCGCGCTCGACCTCCTCGCCACCATGGGCTCCCAGACCTCTCTCCGATACTCTTTGAACCTCATCGCCCCATCTTCTCATCTCGCCCAACGCAGAAAGTCTCCGCAAGCGGACGTGGAAGATGTGAGGCTGGCGTACAAGTACTTTAGTGATGTGGAGAGAAGCGCGCAGTATGCGAAGGAGACGACTGGAATGATGTTTGGAGAGACAGAGGAAGTGAATGGGGGGATGGATGTCGACGCGCAATAGGCTGAACTGATGTATACGACATGACAAAGTCTCTCTGCCTAGTCGTGTTGGAGCAGGCCGATGGTGCGAGCCATTGCATGACAAGCGCGGTTGTGCTTCTTTGTTGGAATCGGGCTTTTCGAACGCCATCTTCCATAAACTTGCAGTCCCGATCTGCGTGAGGGATAACGAGAGTAGACGTTTACAGTCACGGGTTCATATCCACAGCTATTCTGTACCAGCTAACATCAGACGTTGTTGGCGGTTGAAGTGGGGATAATGATGATGCTAAGGAACGTTAGTGTATCAGGTAACCCGATGGGTGGAGAAGCTACTACTAGACCATTGTTGCTCCCAAAGGGGAACAGGAGCTCATACTACTAACCCAAGACTTGGCTACTACTTCGACGCGAGTCGTGACCAGGCTCAGTTTTCAAATGCTACCGGTGCCAGGGTATATAAGGCGGGTCTTCTTCCATAGTCGTGGATACTCGTCGATCCACTATTGTTGTCCTTTGTTGTCTTCCTTCGCACCTTACACTCTAACACTTACCTCTCCCCGGCCTTTGTCTGGCTGTTTTCCCAGAAACCCTCAGTCCATTTCGAACCCTTGCGCGACCTACTGAAGGCTTGAGCCAGAGGCAGGTAAACCCTTGTGACAATCCAGCGCATCAACCTACCCCGACCCGCAAAGAGTAAAAGCGATATTTCTGGCGACTGAACTTTTACTGTGTTATTCCTTAGAGGAGTCAGAAGCGGCGGGTCGTAGAGCGGAGACGCATTCGGAATCCCACGAAATCCTGGGCATAGATGGGGGCAAGACCGGCGTGTCAGTCTACGGTACCGGGGTGGTCTCGGGGAGGCCATGGCGGCTGTTTTTGAGAAGGGGGTGAGAAAAGGCGAAGTGAGATGGGAAAAGAACGGTGACATGATGGTAAAGAAAATTGGTTCAGTAGTGCGGTGAGCACCGAGCACTGCTTGTACCTCTTTGAAGGATCTCACGCTGAAGTAAGTCCAAGCAGATGGTTATGAAAGAAATATACGATGATGACCAATGGAATCTTTTACGAGGATACCCTCGCTGTGTATAGGTCACTAAAATTCAGCTCTGAGTCTCATGTGTGGATGCGCTTATCTGGTGAGATAAGTGAGACAAGTGGAGGGATCGGGCTTCATACAAAGATGACGTCTTCCTGCGGTAAAAGAGGTAAAAGAGCAGCAGATCAGAAATGCTTGTTGAGTGATTATTATATAACGGTGAAGTCAGGTTGTCGTGTACTCGCGTAGCAACTGGGCCATCTACAAGTGAAGAGACAAGGTGGACTTTGAGGTGACAGAATAGAAGGCGCTTCATGAGGAGAGCATTTGACGAGTTCAAATTCTGATCAGGACGCAGAAAAGTACTTCGGCGCGACCATCTGAGGCCGATAACTCACGTCTCAAAAGTTATTTCGACTTGTTGATGGTAGGCAAAAGTAGCTACGGTTCAGGGCTACTTACCATAGCTTGCTGACCATGCATAAAAGAGGGATTCAGAGCTTGAGGGGAAAAAGAAAAAAATAGCCACAGAGGGTTTCGAACCCTCGACCTTCCGCGCCCTTACATAAAATGTGAAGCGGACACTCTAACCAACTGAGCCATGCGACTTATTTACAATGGGAAAAGCTATGATTTCTTATAGCATGTCAAAATGCTGCTGATTTGACATGAGTTACTTTTGGATGACTACAAGTGAGTATGGTTGAGATTACTTGTGCTTAATACACTACTGGACTCTATTGCTACTGCTTTCCAGGACTTGAATCACATCGCCAAAAACACATGGAGCGAGTATGGATGAGCAAGATCTCCACCATCTAGACGACCAGCTAAGAGCGATCCGGATCGATGATGGCCCACGGCTACAACCTCTCAGACTTGACAAGATGTTCCTTCGGGCACACCAATGGCGAGGTCCTACTACGAACGCTACCAATATCACCACACACCAAACAGCACCACCTACCCCCCCGCGAGAACCTCCTATCTATCCTCTTCCCAAGCCTTATAGCCCTTCGGCTGCGGCTCCAAACGACAGCTCAGCCAACCTGGCCACGAACGAAGCGTCGCCTTTGGCGGCCTTGTTCCAGTATGCCGAGCTGGTGCCACTAGTGTTGGAGAATTTTCACCAGCCCAAGGACTTGGCCAAGATCTGTCGAGTCTGCAAGGAGTGGTGTAGCATCGGACGAAAGCAGATGTATTCACATGTGTGGGTACGGCCTTGTACGTGTCTCTGCGTCTTGATGTATATCCGAGCTGATAGCGGAAAAGGGGAAGAAGCACCACACATGAAGGTATGTACTTGAGTATTATGGTCACCAAATGGCCCAACTGGCTAACAGATATCAGCTTGTAATGCTCTTTGATACGTTACACAGACGCTCAGAGCTGTGCCGCCTCATTCGTCGTTTGGGTGAGTCAGAATCGTCTCCGCCGACACCGGACACTGATATCTCTCATCCCAGAGGTTCGATTCTTTCCTCTCGCTACTCGTGGAGAGGCGAGGTCCGAGTTAGATGATCGAGTCCAGCTTGCCATTTCCCACATGGTCAACCTCACATCCATCGCATGGACGGTGGGTTCTTATTTTGCTTCCCGATCAGATCTGACGTGTGCTGCAGAGAGACAAGTCACTCAACTCCTCCCTCTTTGAGACTATGATACGACTCCCACATCTATCATCATTTGAATTATCAGGACATTCCTATAGGTACTACGATCCAGCACTGTTATCTGCCGCGCCCGCTCTAGAGGAACTCAGGATTATGATGCCCGATCCCCATTTGAAGGGGCAACTGGTAGACATACTCTCAAACCTTTCATCAAGACAAGATCTCGATGGAAGGGGTGCTGGCTTGAAGAGTTTGGGGATCATCTGCCAGGTGCGTTTTTCGTCCTTGATGCGTGTCATGTCTCATGAAAGCCTAGGAATCGTCTCTGATAGACGACAATCTACTCCGGTCCATGGCTCCATTTTTAACAAGCCTCCGTCGGCTTACATTTTGGGGCTGTACTCATGTCACGAAAGCGGGTATCACTTCCATCCTGGAAGAGTCCAGCGAAAGTATCGAAGAGCTTTCTCTGGATGCTCCACCCCAGTCGCACCTCCTCAACCTCACCGGTCTGCCGGATTTGCCTCTACTTCACACGCTATCCCTGTCGATCACAGTCCCCCGTAGAGACGGTCTTGAGCACCAAGACACTTTGCTATCCGACCTTCCTACTCTGCCGTCATGCCCATCACTCAGGTCTCTCCAATTGACTTCGTCGCCGGGGAGACCCTTCTTGACAGCCGAGGTGTGGAGATCATTCCAGGACCAGATACGCGGTGGTAGCTTGTGCAAGCTCTCGCTGATAGGTATCGTTATCAGAGACGTTGCCGCACTGTACGAAGTGCTGTCTTCCAATCCTAATCTAGATGAGCTATATTTCACGGCTCTTCACCCGTCTTTCTTTGCCCCTACTTCCAAATCGTCCGGCACTACTCTCTCTGCCAAAGGTCTACTTGCCTCTGCGCAGCTACGCATCGTGCATATCAACTTCATCCACAGCTCTCCCGTCACCATTACGAGGGGTAGCTTGTCCCACTTCTGGAAAGAGATTATTGGTGTCGACAGTATGCTAGGGGACACTGTCGAGCAGGTCGGCTGTGGTAACGTCATACTGGAAGTGCACAAGCGCTTGACTGAAGAAGGGCGTCGGGAGGTAGAACTGTGTAGATGGTCAAAGACTGTTGTACCGGGTTATTTCCAGGTGTGGCGGGCGTAACGAGAATCGTGGTACTTGTATATATAGCTGCCATGCATAACATGAGAATCCACATCCAGCGACGGCACGACACTGCCGTGACTTTTTAGTCTTCGTCCATACCTTCACCCGCCTCACCCTCATCATCGTCGTCGTCAGAGTCTGAAGGCATGTCGTAGGACAGCCCACCACTCTCTTCTCCCTGGGTCCCACGTTTTGCAGCCCATTCTTGGGCAGCCTGGAAGAACTTGAAAGTTGTGGGATTGGCCTCCTTCTCGTCGTCGGGGAATATGAGGTCCCAGTCTGAGAGTTGTTAGCTACGCTCATCAAACTACGCTCATCAAACGATTCAAAGACGTACACTCTTCCATGCCACTCCCATCTTCGGCCTCTCTCCATCTCTTTCTTGTTGTGGGCATCATTTGCTCCACAGTCGCCTTGTTCTCGTCATCACCATGCTCCTCCTCGAACGTCTTCCAAGCCTCCAGCAAGACCGCCCTATCTTCCTTCTCGCCATTCTTTCTGAGATCCTTGTAACCCCTTTCGAACACCTGTCTAGCCATTTCGGCATCACCGGCCTCGCCTTCGATCTCGTTGCCATCTTCGTCCTCGCCTCCGCCGAGAGTTGCGATTTCCATGAGAGCGTATGATATCCAGACCTTGACATGGCTTGTCCTTTCGAGCAAACGCTCGTAGAGGCTTCGGGCTCGTTCGCGCTCACCCTCGCCAGCCTCAAAGTCGATGTAGGCTTTCCAGACAACTTCGGGCATGTCGAGAGCTTGCTGCACAGCAAGCTCATAGATGGCTCGCACACGCTCAAAGTCTTCAACGGCTGATTCAACCTGGGTCCATTGGATCCAGGCGGAACTGAGGGATGGGTCGAACTGGTGCGACGTAAGCATACGCGCAAATTGGGAAATGGCTGACTCACAGTGAGGAACTTTTCGTATAGCGTTCTCACGCGGTCAAACTCTCGCAATCTCATCTCCAGCTCGATATAACCGGTGAAGAGTTTGGGCTTAGGGCACATTCCAATACCCGCACCTAATACCTTCCTCGCAGCCGTCACGTCCAAACGACGGATCTCAAAGTAGGCATATGCCAGCCAGAGCTTGGCGAAAGTGAAGGATTTATGAGGGACAAGTTTGATGGCAGCTTTATAGACGTCTCGAGATCTGTCAAAGTCTTTGGTGTCGATTTCCTCAAATGCGGCATATTGCAGCCACACTTGGGGGCGTCAGCTTGCTTGAGCAACAGAAAACGAGACGACCCACGGTAAATATATCTTCGCCAGTATCTCTTTTCGACAGCAGGGGGCACATTGGCCACAGCTCTTTCGTAAACCTCCCTCACCCTCGTGGGGTTCGCATCTTCGCTACCATCTTCTTTGTCTGCCCGGTAGGCATCCTCCTCCAAGCGAGCAAGAGAGAACCAGGCGTCGTAGTTTGTGGGGTCGTAGGCAAGTTCTTCCTCGTATTGAATGCGACGCTTGCCCAAGACAGTCAACTCGACGCCGGCACGATCACCATCTGTAGATGAGTTAGCCGGCATACACTTCGAGTACAGGCTTTGGACATACGCTGCTTCTCGAACTTCGTATACTGGGAATATACTGCGGTCACGTCAGTCCCCGCAATGCGCTCACATACACGTCACTTACAGCTTGCAGATTTGGATCTGGGCAGCCTCGCCAGAGCAAACTTGTAAATTACCCTAGCCCTCTCAAATTCTTTCAATCTGGTCTCCATCCTCGCGAATGCCCCAAACACAACCTGCGCCTTCTCGACTTCCTCTTCCCCATCGCCAAAGAATTCCAGTGCTGTTTGAAACACCTCCCGAGCCTTGTCGGGCTGGCCTCTATCCTCCTCGAATTTAGCCCATTGCACCCAGTTCTTGGGTATAGGGCGACAGGCGATCCAGCGTTCGTAGATGGCGGAAGCCCGATCGAGTTCGTTGTATCGTTCCTCGAGTTTGATATATGATTGCCACGCCTTGTCATTCGGCTCCCATTGCATCCAACGTTCAAAGATCTGACGGGCACCGGGAACATTCAGGAGAAGCTCTTCGAGATAGACGTACTTGTACCAGAGCTATACGAGGTCAATATGGCGCGACAAAGAGGAGCAGCACGGACGTACCGAGTCAACGCGAGGAAGAGTGGTGATAGCTCTGTCAAAAAGATTTCTCGCATGGTTGATATTCCTCGCCTTCAGCTCCATATCTGTGTACTTGGTCTAATACATATTCGATTAGCTCCGGCAGCTTGTGAAGACGAAAGTAACGTACCCAAAGATCAACAGACCGAGGGTCCACATCCAACGCACGCTCGAAGACGGATCTTGAGCGATCAAAGTCATTTTGGCTGGATTCCCATTGTGCGTATTTGATCCAAGCTTGAAAGACACAGGTCAGCATCCCCCGAAAGCCACATTGTGAGTGTACGCACCCATTATGCTGTCCCTCGAATATCGAATTCGTCCCTCAAACTCCGTCCTCTTTCTCGCTTGGAACTCTGACAGCTCTTCAAGATCCTGAACTCGTTGCTTGGGGGCCTGCACGCCCGGTTCTTGACGCTCTTGAGCCTCACGAAGCAACTGCTCCGCTGTGATCTGTATCAAGACGGGTAAGCTTCTATTATGTCGACTTTACGGCGGCTACATACCTGGACAGCCGCGGCAGCCCTGTTGCGGACCCTCGGTGCACGGTCCCTAGCATCTCTTTCGGCCATGTTGGGTTGAGTCTTTGCTGCTGGGAGTTGAAGGTGATCTATATGAATGTCATGGAGGATGGCACTCTGCGACGCGCGAGTGGCCCAAGCGGCGTTAAAAATGAGTGTAAGCTTGTGTGGCACTCTCCGCCTG